TAACTAAACTGAACTGCTGCCATTTTGTTGGCTACTAACCATGATTGGAATTCCTTTTCCTATTTCTACTCTACTACTCTGTCTTATTTTCCTAAGCAGTTATTTTCTCTTACAGGTCTTTTGAAAATGAATGCCCATTGAAGTCTGCCTCCATATTCACCGTAAGGATTTTTTTAAACTGCCGATATTTTCAAGCTCATCACTGACCGCAACAAACGCCAAATATTGCCGTAAAAATGAAAATTTCCGCTGGCATTATTACACATTTATACGTTTATCTGAGCACATTGTCAACTTCGCTTTTGCATTATTAAACTAATTTTATTTATGTAGTGCGTTTCTGGCGTTAGCAAACGTAAGTTCAAAACTATCTTCAAAATTCCTTTTCAACAAGATGAAAACGTAACCGCCAATTACAAGATAGTTTCAAAAATCTCTTGAAGTAGGTATGCCAGCATTGTAATGTTGCGAGCTCCGTTTAACTTCCATTCCGTTTGCACGAATCCATCCCATTTGGTTGATTCGATAGAAACCTGATCTCCTAGCTTGACGCCCTCTCGCTCGAAGTCCGCAATGGCTCTCCACCACCGCTTGTTTATGAATTGGGTTGAACCTGGACTGGACTGGAATGCCGCATCAAAATAAGTCGGTGACTTCATCAACAAAAGTTCATAGGCCAGTCTACAAACGTTAGAATTGTATGTACAGACGATGAAGTCAGCCGCAATCAAAAGATGCAGATTCACAGTCATGTCAAACACGCCTTGGCAAGATGTACGATTATTAATGGAACTTCCGTTTCTCAGTCGGCCAATAAATTCGTATCTTGAGTATTGAGTTTTGGCCTCGTGAAAGACCGCTGCGTCATTGGAAGCCAAGAAAACACGCCTTCGTCGAGACCAGACCGGTGGGCTCGTATTGCTTGTTTCCAAACTGTGCTCCACCTCCTTTAGATGGAAGAAGTGTTCCACGTAGAACATGTACTCAGCCAGCGGGTGGTATTTTGCTTCATATTTGAGTTTATTGGTTCGAGAACATGAATGCTGGCAATTAATTCCTCATATGCCCCGCCATCGAGGCCTCTCCGCATATTCTGCAATTCTATTTCCAGGTTATGTCGCCAAACCGGATTGGCTGGTCGGAGAATGTGGCTCAAGAGCTGTCCGTGGTACCACGGAAAGTGACGGGCCAGTAGTCTTGCCAGTCTCTCGGACCACTCCCGTGGCATAGCAGGTGGAAGATATTTCTCTCTCACATTTGCCCCCCGAAGTGCGTGTCCAAGGAAAGGGACATCTGACTGTCCTTCAGCATGACTTAGAGAGCAGTTTGAAAGTGGCAGAATAAAGTCCTTCCAGTCATTGCGTTGGAGCAGAAGTGTGCGATTTGTTGCAAATGTGTAGGCTAACATGAAACCCGTGGTGTGAACAGCACACCCATATCCACAGGATGCTGTATGGTAGATTTCGCCCAAAGCGAAACGAGTTCGTTTGCAGTCAGGAGGTTTTTGCAACCTCGACAGCTGTTTGCGGAATTGTGAAGTCATGGCGTCCACTGCTTGACGTCTTCTTTCGCGCTGACCACTGAGTTTTTCGAGGAGACTCAGTCTGGCCGTGAGCTGCAGTGTGGCTTAAACAGGAGACTGTGCAACTGTCTTGATGGCGGAGATGTTAGATTGCGGAAGTGGGCATTATTGCGTGTTGCAAAGCGTGTCTTCGTAACTGGCACAGGTCCCACGTAATGAAAGTTTCATCAAGGCCACATTACGACGGAGCCATTTTACTCTAACCATGAGTCCCCTATCAGCCACTCTATACGAGAGACATTCTAGTCTAGTGAGTCAATGCTCACATTCTCCTCAAATGGTTCACAGTCTTGGACCGCTGAATAGAAAGTTTGAAAAATAAAGTGAGCCCAATGTAAATAATTGTTCAATATTAACGAAAATAGAGCCTTCGGCGTGCTTGCTTCTATTCACACTAACCTGGAACTTGCAACTCCTCAGTGCACTCGTGAGGGCACCAAGAAAAACCGATGACTCATGAGTCAAGATGTCATGGCATTGCAACTTGTGCTAAAAAACTGAAAGTGGTGCGGTAACTATGGCTCGATTGACCGTAAGCCAACTGACCGTAGGTCTAATACTGTAATGGTCGTGTACGGCTTAACTTTCAGGCAATATTCTCCACCTAGATTAGTAGCCATTGTACGACTGCTGGCGGTTGTCGAAAGTGAGCCATAACGCAGTTCACCAACGGGCAAGACAAGCTCGTGGCTAAATGGTAAGAACCGTAAATTTGCCAATAGAGGAGAATATGCGAGTTTCAGGCAGCAGTTCGGAAGAAGATGCGATCACTGGAACAAGGCCTTTATTTTCCTGACGTTTAGGATTCCCACGGGAATCCTTCATCATAGGTAATCGAAGAACAGTCTGAAACATGTGCATATAGGGTGATAAATGCACAGATAACACGGTATTTATAGTTCGTAGCGGTCAACCGCATGCGAACAATAATTGTCAGTTCTTTTAGCGACCGCTTGAGGTCTTAATTGGTGCGGTGATGGCTCATTAATTATCACGGCGTTCTTCTCCGCTTCAGATGCGGGTTTAATAATTGCGTGACAAGTATCAAGAAGTTGCAATTCGAGCCTCGGGTAGTGACCCAATTGGTTTCGTTTATACCATGCTGCCCACTGCATATTAGATGCCTATTTGCGAGAGGATATCAATGTTTCGCATAGGTCAGCATGCTACATCAACGCTTCAAAACGACTATTTTTTCCTCAAGTTTAATTTTTATGTTCTCGCTTTTTTGGCTTGGATAGTACTAGTGACCCTTCGATCAGAAATACAACGCTCTTAACCATCTGCCTTGTGCTCCTGCACCTGCTTATTTCGAAACTAACGTGCTTTCATTCACTAATGAATGTTCACCGATACCTGACGGAACTCACTCATTCTGCTCTGCCTTGGGTCGCATTTCTAGGGCCCTGACAGGGATTGCACATCGTGGCTACAAGTTCGCGCAGGCAGGATTGCGGGCAAAGATCATTTAGTGTGAAATTCGCCCTTCCGTATAATATGCAGTTGGCAGCGAGTTATAAACGAAACCAATTGGGTCACTACCCGAGGCTCGAATTGCAACTACTTGATAAGAAATATAACGTTCTTACCATTGAGCCATGCGTTTGTCGACTTGCCCGTTCAGAACGGTAAAAATTGACACTCCTTGATTACCTGTGTTAGGGCTCCGTTTCAACAGTCTCTAGGAGCCGTACTTGGGCTATTAGTTTAGGCAGAAAATATTGCCTGAAAATACAAGTCAGGCACGAACATAAGGGTGGTGTAGACCTACGATCAGTCGGCTTCGTTTTCGAGCCACGGTTACTGCACAACTTGCAGTTGTTTAGCACAGACACACTGTGACTAGTAAGCCATATATGGACAGTCTTATTTCCTTGTATTTGCCAGCAGTATGATCTGTATAGAC